TTTGGGGTGCAGCAGGGTTTTGGCAGAACAGGGTCCACAAGACTGGGGCCTCAAAGGCTGGCACTCCACAGAGGGTGCTGAGCCCCACACGGTGCTGGGAGCCCCTTTGGGGACCCCAATTCCCCCTAAAGGTGCATTTCCCCCCAGCCTCCCGAGGCTCCCAGGGAGCTCTGCCCCGAGGAATGTCCCATTCCCCTGTCCCGGGACCGTCTCTCCCAGCGAGCCGCCCATTCCCTGTGAGTGACCCTCAATCCCTGCAGCACCCAGCCCTCAACCAGACACGTTTTGGGCTGAGCAGCACCTTCGGGGTGCGGGCAGTGCTCTGACCGCTCCTCCCTGGAGCAGCATCCCCCGGGRATGACAGAACGKGTGACAGGGGACACCTCCGGCCRGCCCRCSGCCCCACCCGTCCAGTGCAGCGTGYAGGGCGGGCACAGGCGCYCTTACCGCCAGGAAGATCTGCGTGGCGCTGCTCAGCACCTCGATGTACTGATAGTCCAGCAGGCAGCCGCTGACCGTGATAACGTGGTGATCCTCGGGCGCCAGCCGCGAGTTGAGCACCGGCGTCACCAGGCAGCCCGGGCCGTTCTCCATCCACCACGAGCGGTGCAGGGACGTGTTGAAGGTCATGATGAAATCTCGGTCCTGAGGAGGAGGAGGAGGAGGAGGAGGAGGAGGAGGAAGGAAGGAGAAGGAGGACGAGGCACGGATGGTGCATCTGAGGCTCTTTGCAGGAGGGTTGGGCACAGAATGGGCTTTTCCAACCCCAAGGATGCTCCCTGAGCCCCACCCAGCAGCCCCCGGGCTCTGGGGGCTCCTCCCAGGCTGCTGCCGTGGCCATCTGGTCAAGCAGCACCCAGGTGACGCCCAGGTGACACGCTGGGTGTCACAGAGTCATCACCAGGATGGCAGAGAAGCGGCCGCTTGTGACTCTACACCAGCCATCCCCGAGGTGGCACCGTGGGACAGCACCGCTCAGCGCGGTCCAGGGATGGGGGGCGGCCCCTGCTGCTCCCCGGGGGTTTTGGGGTGCCATCCCTTCATCCCATCCCCACGGAGCCTTGCAGGGACCTCCCACACTCCTGTCCCCCCCTTGTCAACTCCTCACAAGCTCTGGGGTGCTCCCTGGGTCGTCCAGCAGCTGTGGGGTGGCTTTGGGGAGGCTGCAGCCCCCTGGGAGGGGGATTAATCCTCAGTCCCTGGGTAAGCCCCCACCCCAGAAGAGTTTCCCTGGTCCCCCTGGCTGAGTTCTAATCCCATGGAGGGTCCCCCTGCTCCTACTGAGTGAGCCCTTGCCCCACAGAGATTCCCCCTGTGTGAGCCCCCACCCCGTGGAGGGTCCCCCTCATCCCTTTGGGTGAGCCCCACCCCATGAAGGATCCCCCTGGCTGAGCCCCCACCCCACAGAGGGTCCTCCCAGCCCCCTCTGTGCCCCCAGCCCTTGGCTCTGCTGGGGCTGCGCCTCCTCCGCAGGAAATCACCAATCTGGGACGAAGAGATTTTTGCTGCTGGGGGCGGAAAAGCCCCGAAAAGGGAGCGCGTGGGTTTGGGTTTGTGAAGCTGARGGGCGTGGGCTGAGGGGCAGGGAAGCGGCGCGGGGGGAGCTGAGCCATCGCGGCGTGACGGGGAGCGGGATTTCCACCCAAAACACGCGGCGGGAGCGGAGGGGAGGGAATCCTCCCCCGCTCTCCATCCTGAGCGCGTCGGGAGAGCCTCAATGACCAGGAGCAGCTCGGGAAGGTGATCCCAGCCTCGGAGTATCCCCGGAGGCTGTCCCCGCTCGGGGGAACCAAGCCAGCTGTCCCCAGCCCTCTGCGATGCCCCGAGCGGGGCCAGCACCCCCAGAGCCGGGGGGGACACATAGCCTGGCCCAGGGACCCCAGGCCGGGGTGAGTGCGCTCAAAGCAGCCGGTGCTGCCCCAGCCCTGCGCCAAGTTTTGCTTTGTTTGGTGGAAAAGCTGCCATTGGACAGCTCGGGGTGCGGTGAAGGCACGGCCCCGCTCCCGTCCTCACCCCATGGCCACGGGTGACTTCCCAAAGCCGGGAATGCTGGCCAGGAACGGCTGGGAGACCCAGGAGAGCCCGGAAAATTGGGAATAATTTCCCTCCTCCCACCCGCTGCCCTCCCMATCCCCACCTGAGACTTCCCAAACATCCCTGTCATTGTTCATCCCTGTTCTCTCTGTTCCTCCTCTCCTTTACCTCCTCACTGGAGATAAAGAGAATTAATTTGGGGTTTGGGAACAGCCACCACTGCCCCTCGGCCTGAGCTGTCCGTTTGTCCATCCCATCCCATCCCATCCCATCCCATCCCATCCCATCCCATCCCATCCCATCCCATCCCATCCCATCCCATCCCATCCCACGGGAACCCCGCGCTCCAGCCGGAACCCCCGGGGAGACACCCCCGGTATCCAGGCGGGAGCTTTGCTGCGGGGCTGGGGGCACCCACGGGCTCGGGGGGTCACTTTGGGGATGGGCTGTGGAGCAGGGAAGGAGCAGGAGCGGGACAGCAGGAAGAACAGACGGACAGAGGGAGGGAAGGGGCGTTACCTGCGACAAGCGCCCGACCTCCAGGTAGAAGCAGATGATGAAGGCGTTCCAGCCGACCCACAGCACCAACCACACGGCGTACTGCGAGAGGAGA